CAACAGAAAACACAGATGTTAGCATTCTTGTATCTATACAGACTTAGTATCTTAGGCAGTCCTAAGACCAAGGTAACAGAAGCAAGTGAGAAACAGGGTAGAAAGTAAACAGTGTTTGTAACAAGCAAGGCTTTTTTGTTACTGTATTTGGATTCTGTGTCAGTTGTTCATGGAGCAGCTTCACAGCTAAGTGATGAATTCTTACTGCAGGTTGTAGCTTCATTCTTTGGTTAGTTTAGGCTCAAAGAACATCTATAGAATGCATCAATTTCTTCTATTGATGTGCTATGCAATGAGCTGCCTTATTTCATTTTACTGAAATTTAAATGTTTAACAGGGTTAAATATACGGAGAGCTTTTGCCAGTGAAAACTGTCAATTTTGTCCATTAACGTGTCAGCTTTCCTTGAAATTTCTGTCTCAATTTAGCTTGCTATCCCTTTGTTTGCAAGCCATGTGAGATTTATTTTGCCTGGCAGAAACTAGCTTACTTTTGGGAGGTCACTTTCTGCGCTCTCCCTTTCTGTATGACATAATGCTTCTGAAGTTATGTGGTTTCCTGTAGCTACTGTACATTATCTGTCCTGTGAAATTCTGATGCCTGTGGTGTTTTTACTGACATTACTTAGCAAAGTGCATCAGTGCCTAGAGGTTAGAGAATCTGAGGCATTAATAACTTTCTACTTGATCTTGTTTGGACATGTCCAGCTTCATTTTTAGAGCAACTGTTTCCTTCAGAAGATATGGGTATGATGGCAATTGCTGTCAAATGAGAGTGGCACTACTCTGTTACTCTGTTATCATGCTAATTTGCATTAGCCTAAATATTTTAATATATGTGAAAGAATTTTTTTTTCCTTCAGTACTTTATTTTATATTTAACGGTCTTTTATTCTGTAGGATACAGAAGTCATTGCACAGTGAGATGGTTGAAATCAGTTAGTATTAACTTCTATCTGTTTTTTTTTTCATGTTTATGGTCTTCTGTTTTTTTATGGTCTTCTGTTTTTTATGGTCCATTTTTAGTTAACAGTTGCTTTGCTTTTAAATTTTGAATGGTTCCCTAATACAAAGCTATATTTATTTGGCAGATTCAAGAAGGGTTTAGAGTCCAGTGAAGTTTTTTTCTGTGGGCACAGATAATCCACAGTGGAGTAAATCACTGACCAGGTGCAAAAATTGACAGAATTGCATCCATAATTATATGCTGTGATATGCTATGAAGTACAGTGAGCATTATTAGAGATAGTCTGCATATCATGGGTTCTAAGAAATTTCAAGGACTTAACAGGTGTTCTCTATGTGTTTGATTAGAACTCACAGAAAAGGAGAGATTTATGTTTAACAAGACTGGTAGCTATTGGTAGCTATTAAGAGTGAAAGGACTGAGGGAATAGGTGTATAGATGCAGGAAGAAACATCTGTATTATCAAAGTAAATATTTAAATTGTCAAAATTGATGTCAATTATTGCTTAAAATGTTACATAAATTCTAGGTAATTTTTAGTCCTATATGTAAGCAACCATATTGATACCATTAAAAAAAAAAATCTACATGTTGCAGTGTAACTTAGTATGTTGTAATGTTTTTCTATATCTATAGTGATTTTGTACTGAAAAATTACTCACTCTAGGGCTGTCTTTCTTTCTCAACTGCCTAAAAGCTAGTTATCAGTAATGTAATATATTAACATATATAAGAAAATATATAGAAATACTGTTTTCTATATATTGGCTGTGATCACATTTGCTCCCAACTGTCTTTGTTGTATTTTCTAGATAAAGCTCTGTATTTGGTATTTTTAAATTAAAAAGAGAATTGTAGTCTGTATATATAGCTTATATAGGTATTTAGAGTACTGGAAATGTATGACAATGGGCAATCCATTTTACATATTTTGTGCTATCAGCTATTAGTATAACATTGTACCCTTGGATATGGTGATATACCATATGTAACTGATTATGTTTATTGAGGTATTTGTTTGAAAGGAATTTTGATTTTTATGTAAATTGGCACAGGCTTAATTTTTTTCTTTGAAAAATTCTTTGCTAAATCTCTGATTGTTGTTAAAATTTAAAACAAATGTATGTTTTTTCAAGGACAGAGATTTAACAAAAAAAAGACATTTTTCTTCTTTGTCAAGACAATGCAAGAATAAAAAGTGTGAACTCTTCCAAAAACTGAGGATGAAAATACTTAGAATGAACAAAAAGTCAGAGGCTGTCTTTGAAAAATGTTTTTCCTCTCTTTTCTATGCACAGTACTTTGATGACCAAATACTATTAAGAAAAAAAAACTGTGAAGTCTATAAAACTTTTTTCAGCAGCAATTCAAGAATTCTTACCTTCCACCCCTCCCATTCCCCACGGAACAGTCCCACTTAAAAAATAGTACATCCTCAGATACTTTTTGTCGTCTTTGTTCTGTTTTTTTTTTTTTTTTTCAGTTTTCATGGCTTGGGATAAGTAACTAATTAGATGCAACAACCAGTGTATAAAGTCAGAAAAAAAGGATAAAATTCAGCTCACTTTCTCTGCATTTTATTGTTTTTCCAGACTAATTAGAGTAAAAACTAGCAAAAGCGTATGCTTGTAAGTTAAAGATGTAATCTGTCTCTGATATACATAGAATGGTATTGTTCAGTGGTGACATGCCATTTTTGTGTGGTCACTTTTTGGAGTAGAATTGCACAGTAAACAGTAGTGAAAAAGTGTTCTGTGTTTACTTGCTGTTTTACAAGAAAAGTCCTACATGTTCCTTTCTCTAAACAGTGTTCTAGAAAATGTTTTACCATTTCAGTTTTCAGGATTCTTTTCAATGTAGATTGCTGTAGAGATGTATGGCCTCCTTATATTCGTAGATACAAATTGCTTTAAAACATAGAGTAATTCCATATCATCAATAGAAAGTCTTTTTTTGTCCATATACAATAGCATTACATAAACAGTAGCAGAACAAATATACTTGAGTTAATAGCATTGAATTGACTATACAGACTATAACTGACTATATTGGTCATATTAACTTGTTAATTTTTGTTACTTACCAGAGCAGAAAAATTATCCCATTGGTATTGGTTTGTCTACTGACATTATAATTTTAAAGTCATTTAGATAACCCGCATTTTGCATTCTGAATGAAAGGATATAATCTCTTCTGTGATGAATTTTGTGCTTTATCTCAGTCTGTAATGCTGGATGGAGGTAGATTGTACTAATTCAGCTTTTGCCTTTCTTCTGCATTTGAGAATAATGCTTCACATGTTTCTGAGTCTCATGGGATCAAAGCTGAGCTGTCACTATTTGTTCAGAAAAGACACACAACAGGTACAAAAAGAAAGTCAGTGGAAGTCACTCATACTGCAGAGGGCTGGATGCAAGTGGAAAATACATCAATATTTTGGTTATTTGCATAAATGTCATGCATTTTAGTAAGAGAGGAAATTTTTTAAAATAGATGTCTTTTGTTCATATTCTAACCATTGTTAGTGGTATATTTTAGGAAGAGCATAATGCAGACTTTCTAATATATTACATAAATATTAGCATATAAGAGAACTAAGAGTCAGCTGGACCATTAGCTTTCGTGAGGTGATTTTGCTCAAGGAAAATGGATGGTGTTCTATTCCATTGGCAAATACTAGATAAATCTTGGAAAATCAAACTCGTGTGTGAGTGCAGCCATACTGGTGAGGCTTTAATAGGCATGGCCCTGTTTGGTCAGAATCAAAGGTGTAGACCTCTACAGCCTGAGTTCTGAATGAGAGCAGAAGGAGGAACAAAATAATGCTTTTAATGAAGAGGGTTGGGCCTAAATGTATGATGTTTTCAGTGTCTTTAAAATGGGTGTTGAGTGGAAACAGACAACCTGTGGAAGAATAGAAAAAGATGCAACTTGGCTAGTGGCTAGTTTTAGAGATCAGAGAAATAGTAATGTTGAAAGAACAGTTGACTGTAGGCTGAGTTTTGTCTTGCAAAGAAAACTTAAGAGATACAGTAAGCTATTTTTCAGCCATAGAAACTGAAAGCAAGCAGAAGAAGGAAACCATTGTCGAGAAAGGGTGAGATGGAGGCAAAAGGTGATGTACATAGAACCTGGAAAATGAATACTGAATAAGCTCTCCCAGATTTCAGAGGTGATCATGAACAGGAGGACAGCATTTTTCTCAAAATGAGTACCACAGCAGGGCACCTTTGATTTTTATTACATATGTCATATCTATTTATATATTTTCATACAGAGTTGTTGACTCATGATCAGTTTGTGTTCTGCTGTCTTTGCTGGTCCTTTTCATGTAGAATTGCCATCCTGCTGATCCTAACTTTTGGTATTTAAGTGCAGTGCACTTTTATCTATTTTAGCAGAGGTTTTTCAGATCAATTTTAAATCTGATCATTTTTTTTCTGGATTCAGAGACTGTTATTTAGTGTAATAGCTTAGAATTGTTTTTGTATGTAATATCTACAATGACTGCACAAAAGATTTTACTAAAGTAAGGCAACTTTGTTCTGTAGCATGTTGCTATGCAGATTAGGTTTGCTGAGCAAGTACTTTCAAATTCATAATTGAGATCTGATTTCAGCACATTAAAGCATTTACAGAACTTGAGTATATTAATTTATTTGTATACTTGTAAGTTTCTTCTGAGCTGGCAACATGAAGGAATAACATTTAATTGGAAAGTACCTGCCTCTAATCTGGTGCCTGCAACAATAAGAAAATAAATCTTTACTGTCATAAAAAATATAGTCAGCTGGAAGTAATATAAGGGTGACGGGCTGTGAGTACAGGAGGAGGAGTATTTGACAAAAACTGGATTGTATCACTGACTGAATAATGAGAGAGTTATGGTCACGGTGAGGAAACAGTGATCTTTAACATGGCAAGGCTTGAAGGTTTCATTTAATATATTTCCTGAAAGAATGAATGAATGCTCTAAAAAGTGAAAAGATCTAGAGTAGAAAAACATTCACTGAGGGGTTTTTGTTGTTCCGCAGTCTCAGTTTGAACTCAGGGTATTCCATATTCGTGGAGAACATGCTTTATCAACTGCTCAGCTTGAGGAAACCATTGCACATCTGAAGAATGAACTTGATAATAAATTGAACAGAAGGAATGAAGAAGCAAGGGATATTGGTGTTTCTACTGAAGATGATAATCCACCAAAGACATACCGAAATGTATGTATACAGACTGACAGAGAAACTTTTATAAAGCCTAGTGAAGAAGAAAACAGAGCTGTGAAAATCAACCAAATAGTACCGAAAAAGCTTAATATTTCTTCTTTGACACATAGTATTTCTACCCAAGGTGAAAATAAGGACAGTTATGATGTACCGTCTTCAGAAAGTGTCTTGTCTTGTCAACCAAAACAAATGCTGCCTCCTCCACCACCTCCACCACCACCTCCACCACCTCCACCACTTCCACCACCTCCTCCCTTCACTGATTCTTCACTACAAGGTTTAGTTCCTCCACCACCACCTTTGCCAATGGGTCCATCTTCAGTGACACCACACTTTGCATCTGGGCCTTCACTGCCACCTCAACTTTCTGAAGGCTGTAGGGATTTTCAAGCACCAGCACCACCAGCACCACCACCACTTCCAGGGTTGGGACCTCCTGTTCCTCCTCCATTGCCTGGATCCGGGTTACCTCCACCTCCCCCACCCCCAGGACTTGGGCTCTTTTTTAATAGCACTTTATCTTCAAGTCAAGGTCCTCGGAAACCTGCCATTGAACCTAGTCGTCCCATGAAGCCTTTGTATTGGACACGGATACAATTGCAAGGCAGCAGGTACAGTGAATTTATTTGAACATATTTTCTGTCTATATGCCATTATTTAAGTTTATATAAGCTATTTAAGACAGTGACAAGTAATGAAAATACATATAGAAGCATGGAATTTGTATGTATTAACAACAAAACAGTTATAGAAGTCTAATAATAGATCACAACAAATTATTTTAAAATGCTATATGTAAACAAACAATTATGTGCATAATAACAGAAAAAGCAGAGTATAACAGAGGGAGTTAGAGCACTCCCTGAGAACTCCAGTGAAAGAGCAACCAAATATTTTGTTTCGTGACTTAGTATTAAAGAAATAAAAAGTTTGATGAAAAAAGATGAAAGATACCCTTTTATTTTTTTCTTTCTTTCTTTCTTTTTTTTTTTTTTTTTCCCATTAGAAAAGAGATCATTAAAATTAAAACTGAAATATTTAAGTTTGGTCAGGCAAGAACTTCGAGTTTCATTTACTTTTGCTCTCCAGTCATTTAAGGTGATGCTATCTTCAAAGCACCATATCAGCTTCTAATATTTTTGTTCTGGAAAAAAGTAAACTTGAGCTTAACCTCAAGTATACTTCTAGGAAGGTGAAGTATATGCATAAAAACCTGCTGCAGAGGAACCTGTAGTGTAAAGCATCTGGTACAAAGGAGGTGCAGAACTGGCAGAGACATCTGTAGTTAAAACAGTTTTATTTATATATTTCTTTTATTTTAGTTTTTGACTGAACTTATTTTTAAGACAACGAATAATAATTTGGATTTTTTTTTCTAGTGTAACCTACATAGGAAGTTATATTAGTTTATATTTGAGCATTTTGATTTTACTTTCCCAAAATTACTTGTGAAAATTAGTGAAGTGCCAGTTGGTCCAAAAATAAACCTTGTTTCATTTTTTTCAATTTATTTACTGAGATCAAAATATTCCTTCTTAAATTTAGATGGTTCGTCAAGTTTTTCTGAGTGCAAAATAAAGTCATAGTTTCCTGATGAAATGCTGGATACCAGGTCCAATGATCCAGCATCATCGTTGTCTGCACTAGATATGAAGTTTTTTTCAACAGTCTGCTGCTCAGAGCAGCAGTTATCTGGGTCCTTGAAGTTCTTCATACAGAGACAAAAAGCATTATTCAGTGAAGTCATTGCAGCTAGTGACAGAAAAGTAAAGCTGTTGAACTCTAGCCACTTCACATGACACAGAATATGTTTCATCAGTGGATGCTCATGGAAAAAATAGAGTTCCTTAAACATTCACCGCAGTAAATGGGTGGTTGAGTATTCAATAAAAACAATCCTAAATTTCAGTATTTATGTGGCTTTCAGAATCCTTTTCTCCATTATATGGGTAGATATTACATTTTTTTGCATATTACATCTAATAAATATATGTATGGTGACATCAGCCATTCATAGTTCATAGGGTTTTCCGCAATGTTTGTGGTTTTTTTAATAGCAATTCATTTTATTGCCTTTTAGTGACATCTACTGGAAGAAGTGAGCCCACCTTTTACTGATAGATATGACAAAAAGAGCAGTCTGAAGATAGTTTTGTCAAATATACTTTCATAAGTTATTGAAATTTTGAAACTTGTTCAGAATTGAAGTGTTTTGTTTGAAACACTACAAATAATTTTTCCTAAATCCAGATAAAACGAGAGTATTTTGTTTAATATGTTCCAAAGTTTAAACAGTGATGCTTATCTACGCTATATCTGTTCCTGAAAGATTAAGGTAAAAAAGGAAAGATAATCTGCATGTAAAATTTGAGTGATGTGGAATATTGATTAGCCTCCCAAGATATAGGCCACTTAGGTTCTAGTTTCTTAAACCTGAAACAAAGTTACATATGAGCATGAAGCATCTGAACCTAGCATGAAGTGAGTCAAGACCTCTACAAATGTTCTTAAAACATGTTTGAATAAAGTGTGATCACTATTTGTTGATGTTGTTTATTTTAATATGTCTGGGAAGATTATTGGGAATTAGTCAAAAAAGCTGCTGTTGAAATCCTAGTTGAAGTGGCAGAGATCTCTTGAGCTGTTATTTGCCCAAGCTGCAGTTACAATATATGGTTATTGTACAAAAAAAAACCCTATAATATGTGCACTTTGATAGTTTAGCAGGTAGTCTGCTAAGTAGCTACACTTCTTAGTACAGCCTTCTGAAAAATATTTTGACTCCTTACAACAGTTAGATACAGAAAAAGAATACTGTTAGTATGCTAGCAATGATTCTTTGAGTTTTAAGCCAATTGTTGATAAGGTTTTATTAATAAATATTTAGTATAAGTTTTATTATCTTTTAATAGGAAAACTGCCATACCAACATTATGGGAATCACTAGAAGAACCTGATATACTTGATACTACTGAGTTTGAATATTTGTTTTCCAAAGACACCACTCAGGAAAAAAGAAAACCGTTATCAGAGACTTATGAAAAAAAAACCAAGGCCAAAAAGGTATTTAATTTTTCTTTGTATTTACTTTCTTCTTTATTTCTTTTTTACGGCTTTGTTTAGTATTTTAAGAAACTTCATTTTTATTTACTGTTGAACCAGCATGTAACAGATGGGTTTCTAAACGCTGTTATAAAACACAATAAGTAAAATTGGTTGTTCAACCTTAGCTAGAGAATTCAAATATATTACTTAGTTTGGAAGATTTCTTCCCTTTGAAAATGAATGTTCTACGTCTTGGTTAAATACAAAAAATATTGAGTAGAAGAACAGAATAGAAGTTCTAACGTGTATCTAAAAGTACCAATATTTCAGGCCATGTCTGACCTTGCAAATATCCATAAGTAAAGGCTACCTTAAATCATTCCAGTAAATCTATTTTCCTTAAGTTTAATGTTATTGAGAAAATAAACTACTTTGGAAGATAGGAAAACCACTCTTACGTATTTTGAATGAAGAATGCCAAAAAAAAGTCTTTGCTGATATATCTCAGTAGCTGTGTCAAGAAGGGACAGGGAAACTATGTCTCGAATGGATGAAAGTTTGTGCAGCACCTGTCATTATGGCATACTCTCTGCCTCAGACGTGGTCAATTACAGACAGAGCTTGTTCTTCTCAGTAACCGTGTGCAGGTAGGGCAAAGACATTTTCTGAATGATGGCCAAGTAATGTTTTCCTAAAACGACATATATGCTATAATCCTGTGTGAGTGTGTGTGTATATACTGTATTATAAATCTATTTTAGTTTACCTGCTTGGAACCACAAGAGGGCTCTTTGCATGTAAGCTATGCTATCTACCTTTCTTGATTTTGACATACATACAAAGTGAACTTTCATACAAATATACAAGAGAGAATGGATTTTTCAAAACTTATTTGATCATAAACTTAGCAAAGTAATTAATAAGAAATGTCAGTAAGAATTCAAGTGCATGTGGTGTGTAGTATCCAGTGTAATTTTAATGGAGAAATAGCATGCACAGTAGATAACTGTTTTATTTCAAAATCTCAGTAGTAAAGTGAATATACCTACTTTCCCAGCAAAATAGTTTGGGAATTAGTCCCATTTCCTGAAAGGTGAATGTGCATGATTCCTTTTCCTTATTGCTTTGTAAACTAACTTAGTTACAGCAGTACATTTTTTTTAATGATCACACTTAACTTTATCCAAAATTGAATTGGATAGTAGTTACTCTATACAATATATGAAATAATGGAGTAATTAGTAATTCTTAGTATTATCACTTGTGAGTAACTAATGTGTTTTCTTACAAAGATATTTTCTGTTTTTATATCGGTGTTTCAATTAGTTTGTTTTGTTTTTAAAGTTATTATTTTAAAGACTAGGGACATATTTACTGAAATTATTGGAATAAAAAATGTTCCTTGAAAATGCTCCATAAAAATACAAAAACAAATATCCTGACAGAAAAATTTAGAGTTTTATCTATTATTGTGCATTTAGTTTGATAAAACTGATGAGATTACAATCATGGTGTTACAACCCATGAAAACCACTGCTCAGTAATAAAGTTTCTGTTGCTTGTTCAGTTGAAAAATAAATCAGCTTCTAGATTTCAAATTGAATTTGAATTAAACTAGGCATATAAGCATTTCCTACTTTTAGTTTTGTTTTTTCTACTTTCTTTGTTGAACGAGTCATAGTAGTTGAACTATGTTTGCAGACAGTTCATCCTCTTCTGCGGCCCTGTGTTTCCTCTGTCTCTGAAATCCTAGATTGTCTGCATGCTACTCTGCTAGCTCCAGTAGATCAATCTTAGTGGGTTTTGAGTGAAATGATAGTAGGGGAGGCATTTTATTTAGTTACAGAATGGTTTATAAGTAGGTAAATAGAAAACTCTTATACATTAATGTTGAATTATCAGCTCTGCTGGTTTCATTTGTCCTTTTACATGCTTTCTTTCAGCATTCATCTTACCTTCTTTCTAACAGTTACATCTACTAGAGCTTTTGTAGTAATCCTTTTCTTTGTGACAGCACAGAAATACATGCTTGTCTGGTCTTAAATATGGTATGTCATGTTACATGGAGTTGTGTCGTCTGGTTAAAGATGCTTAATACAGGTGTCATGGATGATGTTTATCATGTGTCATCATTATAGCTGATGCTGCTATATATCATTTTGTGTTTCTTTGCAAATTCCTGTGGTGTAAAAAAAAAAAAAAAAAAAAAAAGGGGTAAGATACAGAGACAGCTTTAAAATGTGGAACAGTAGTTTGTGTTTATTTTATTTAATACTACATGTTACCACTGATCTGTACATTGCATTAAATCACTTCTCATCCATGTTCTATTAGTTCTATTAGTTCTATTTCCCATCAAGTTCTACAAATTGAGTTTGGCCTGCTTTGTATTTAGAAAAATGGCAGGCCAATAGGTGGTGCAGGATCCCATGCTAGTAGAACATTACTTAGTACTTTTCTTCTTGAATGAGTATTAAATCAGTGCCTCACAGTCAAGTCCCATATGCAACTGGAAGATCTTGCCATAGAAATTCAAGGGGAATTGTTTTTATAAAAACCAAAGTGACTTTAACAGTTCTGATCTTGTTGAAATATGACTTCTTTACTAATTATTTGTAGTTTCAAATAAGATCATATTCAATCTATCCTCATAATTTATTTATTTATTTTTTTTTTTTGTGAAACTTGTCAGAATAATCTGTATGCTTTGTCTGTGAAATCATAGGATCGTACAACCACAGAATTTTTTATGTTGGAAGGGACCTTCAAGATCATCTAATTCGAACCCTTCCCCCCCTATAGGCAGGGACACCTCACACTAGACCAGGTTGCTCAAAGCCCCATCCAGTCTGGCCTTGAATGCCTCCAGGGAGGGAGCATCCACAACCTCACTGGGCAACCTATTCCAGTGTCTCAGCACCCTCACAGTAAAGAATTTCTTCCTAATATCTAGTCTAAATCTACCCTCTTCCAAGTTTAAACCATTTTCCCTTGTCCTGTCACTACCTGCCCTTATAAAAAGTTTATCCCCAGCTTTCCTGTAAGCCCCCTTCAGGTTCTGGAAGGCCACTATAAGGTTCCTCCAGAACCTTCTCTTTTCCAGACTGACGAGCCCCAATTCTCTCAGCCTGTCCTTGTAGGAAATATGTTCCAGCCACAAAACGAATGTTTATGAATACATGAATGCTTAAATAAATATGCTAAAATGCTTAAACAAATGAATGCTTAGATGCAAGATATCACATTAAAGCTGTAGAAATTTCACTTTGTTTTAAGTCTTTGTCCACATTGAAGACCCCTTATGAGAACTCTGATTACGATATTCACTGTCAACTGTGCTTTTGTTGCTTATAACTAGACATCTACCATTTTCAGCCAGAAATGTTTAAATCTTGACCTGCATGACTGGAAATGATGATCTATTTTCCAGTGCTATTTTGAAAGTTATAATCTGAGTATATGTTTATATTTGTGTGTATCATTATATGTGTAAGAAAATGCAGTATAAAATTATAGTATATAATATAGAAGTATTTTATGCACATGCATATCTTCACTGTCAAGATAATAGAAAACAAAGAGGATTCTGTGGGAGTCAGTGTTAGCTCTGATTACCCCCTATCTTCACTTACAGAATCATAGAATCATAGGATTTGCTCAGGTTGGAAAAGAACTGCAAGATCATCGAGTCCAACCACAAGCTAACCATACAACCCTAACACTCACAACCCACCACTAACTCATGTCCCTGAGCACAACATTCAAATGGTTTATAAACATATTCAGGGATGGTGACTCTACCACCTCCCTGGAGAGCCTATTCCAGTGCTTAACAACCCCTTCTGTAAAGAAGTTCTTCCTGATGGCCAACCTAAACCTCCCCTCGCCCAACTTGAAGCCGTTTCCCTTTGTCCGGTAACCTGTCACCAGTGAGAAGAGACCAACCCTACTCTCAGTGCAATTATCTTTCAGGTATTTGCTCTCAATAATGTCTCCCCTCAGTCCCCTCTTCGCCAGACTAAACAGTCCCATTTCCTTCAGTCGCTCCTCATAGGGCATATTCTCCAAGCTCTTCAAAGCTTTCTTGCCCTTCTTTGGACCTGCTCCAGCACCTCAATGTCCTTACTGTGCTGAGGTGCCCAAAACTGAACACAGTACTTGAGGTGGAGCCTCACCAGTGCCAAGTACAGGGGCAGGATTACTTCCCTCGCCCTTCTCATAACACCATTTCTGATACAAGCCAGGATGCCATTGGCCTTCTTGGCCACCTGGGCACACTGATGGCTCATATTCAGCTGATTTTCCATCAGTACACCAAAGTCCCTTTCCATCAGGCAGCTTTCCAGCCACTCGTCCCCAAGCCTGTAGGGTTGCCTGGGGTTGTTGTGACCAAAATGCAGGACCTGGCACTTGGCACTATTGAAACTCATACAGTTTACCTTGGCCCATCGATCCAGTCTATCCAGGTCCCTTTGTAGTGCCTTTCTACCCTCCAGCAGATCAACACCCCCTCCCAGCTTGGTGTCATCTGCAAACTTACTGAGGGTGCACTTTTTTATGACCTGGATAATGGAATATTAACTCTTCAGCTGTCACTTAGTTGCAAGAGGCTGCATACATTTTGAGTTAGACCCTTTAGAAAGTTCCTATGCATCTGAGATGTGCTTATCCCTATTTTTGAGATTATAAGTTTATACAGTTAATCTACCTAACTAAAGGTAATATGAATACAACTGACTAGGTAGTAGTTTAGCAGAAGTGATCTTGGGATCACAAAGAGGAGCATGAGTTATCAAATCATGATACTAGAGCAGAAACAAGACTGGTAAATAAACAGGAGTGTTGCTTGCAATACAATCCATTCAGTCATGTTTCCATTAACAACAGCATCTACACTGAGGCACTACCACTCTTCATTAAAAATATTTACTAACTGTAAAGAGCCAAGAAAAGTGGGAATGATCAAAAGTGTAGAAGTAGTCTCTAAGAAAAAAATCACTGATTGTGATTGTTTAGTC